TCCCTTTTTGTTGATGACACAAATACAATTAGTAGTATATTTTGAAATAAACAAAATCAATAAAATACTTTACGACGGAAGAGCAGTACATTAAACAGTCTTCCTAAATCGTAGGAGTTTTCTCAACAGAAATATTAACTACAGTCGGTATCTTGCTACTGCTAAGGGTTCAGTGTGCTCAAAAAATACACTGTGCAGTTGCTTTTCGTCTTCTATTCCTAAGGCAAGATATAGTGACTTCATATAAACTATTAATCGTGCCCAACAGATTTCTCCAGCAGTCAAATTAAGGCATCAGCAAAAAGTAAGAGAACTGTTTTATGCAGAAAAGAATCTTGCAAAAGATCCAGATTCCACTGTTACCTCAAGTCGTAAAAATGGTGCATACTTTTTTTCTCTGGCCTAGGTTACTCTTGTTTGCTCCACTTAAGTATGTGAGTAGTTTATTTTGTAATAAGTCGCATAGAACAATTTTTTTGACAAGTAAAACGAAGTATGACTTATAAATTTTGTGCCAAAGCTCTCGGTAGAATATGTATCGCCAGTAATCGACAGTGCGAGGCAAACAACGCAAAAAGATAAGAAGAACACCAGTAAGATGTCACGCAAGTGAGAATATCCGCGAAGAAGGAGCAATTAAGCGATGCCTATACGGAGAGAATAATCTTGGCCGTTTTTTGGTCGTTACCCGTTCTAAGCTGTCTCATCGTCCTCTACTGTCTTCTGTGCTGTAAAACCAACCATACAACTTGATGAAAAGTCTAGACAACAGTTTTATAAAGAAGGTCGAGATTTCATGCGAATTATGGATAGTTCTAGATGTCAGTATGACGCAACCAAACGCCAGCATCGAAATTTGATTTTAAACGATTCGGATATGACGGGTCATGACATACCACTTTCTGCTTAAAGACTCAAGCTTTTTCTAGAAAACATTTGCTTTGGCAGATGTTTAGAGCATTTGAGCGACATTTAATAAGGTTTTCTTCGCAACTGTTTATAATTTTCATAAACAATTTGGACAAACTGGCAGTAGTCGACCCTATAAAGTAGTCAAGAAGCGAGACAAGATTTACCATTTTGCCTAAACCTCAAGCAACTGCCGGTACTGCTCAACTTTAATTCAGTTTACAACATATCTTAAACAAACTCAGTTCCGCTTACTCATAATGTCGGAACTGCATTGTAAATTCTAACGGTCATTAAAGTTCCGCATAGTTCACGCTTCCCGTACTGTTTAACAGACAAAAACAGGCGGACGACGCTTACTGCTTTTCCCATCGCCGCATTAATTATCAATCGACAAATCAGAGGAAGCAAAAACTACTGTCCGTATTACGTCTAAAGCTCCTGTTCACAATTCCAAAATGAATAGTAAACGAACAATAAAACTGCGCTTTAATGGTCTTTTTTTTTGACGAAAAGTACAAATGCTACACCGATAACAGAGCATAGAACCAAGTTTAACTTGTATTTAGTCAACTGAATTATTAAAGCTGTGCATCGTAAGCGGCAGTGACAAATTTTTATTTTTTTAATTACGTGCTTTTGATTTTACATTAGCTAAATTACGCTCGTGCTGCACGTGTCAGTGTGTTTCACTTTTCTGTTATGATTTCGCAAACCAGTTATGAAGGCTCATTACATTTGCGGAAAATGACAGAGTCACATAGTGAGTAAAAATTGTGCTGGAAGATTTTGCAGTTGATTAGACTAGTGAGTCAGAGCTTATCCTTACAACGCTTTCTTACTCACTTATAACGATTACGGCGCACTTTAACTTAAAGGTTTATCTGGGTTTGCTAAACAACAAAGAAACATAAGTAGCTGTACTGCACGTATTTGTCCTAAAAATATAATAGGCGCCACCGCGCTTTAGCGAGCTCATATGAGCTTCTCAACAAAGTCTTGTAAATTTTTCGTACATCCAAATTTGTGTCATGTGACTGGTGGTAATTTCTGACTATCTCGCTGTTATCCTTTTGCCACTTTTGTGTCAGAGAGTGGTTCAGTAAATACAGGAGGTATTTTGTACTCATGACTTTAGGAATCTGAAAGTTCCAAGTTCACTCCCGCGCAGTTCGTCTATTCACATCTCCTATATTCTTTGACCATTTCCTGCCTTGCCCTAGGATACTAATCCAACTACGATGTTTTTGTTCTATACACAGAACTTGTTGATACACTGTTTGAGAAGATTGAAGAAATCGTTTGGAAAAGCTTTCCCAAACACGCACCAATACAACTGTGGGTCAGAACAGTCTTCACTTGTTCCATTCTTGACCTTGTATCGCTTCTTTAATTTTGAAAATTGCTCTTTTGACAATTTCCTAACACTGATTCGACAGTAAATTCAGTCTAGTACAATGACTGTGAGTGAAGAATGGCGAGCTTATGATGGCGAAGAAAATTTGAGAAACTTTTACGCGCGCTCCACTCTTTGTCTCCGCGTGTAATTCCTCGTACAGACAAGCGACGCTCGCAGAATTTTGGGGTTGGCGAGGGCCAGTGAAAATAAATGAAGAGCAGTACGAAATCATCAGTAAAACAAATTTTTATCTTTTTCACATATGTATTGAGTATGTTTTAAAAAGTCTCTCCTAAAAATCTCTTTGATTACCTCATGTTGGGTTAATAAGTTTTGTGTGCATAACAAAAACACTGTGATTAAATACGCATTTTAAAAAAGACCAGAAAAATGGTCAAGAAAATGAAACACTATGACTAGACGAAAACGACGTCACAGCATTAGACTATTAGAAAGCTGGCAAAAACTACACAAAGAGAACTGCCACTTAGTCGATCAGCTAAGTGCTCTAGAGAACCATGTGTACGAATATTAAAGCTAGGTTGACGACCAAAAAAAGGACATTTAGGAGTGGAAACGCTAGGTTGCAATAGTGCCGAAACTTCCCGTAGTAATAGTAACAGAAAACTTTTTTGAGGTACCAAGCCACTGCTGTGTTTTGGTTATTCTCACTTGTAACCACAGAAGGTTTCTTACAGATTTATTCAATCTTTTTACAGATTCAATACCATTGCAGCGACGAGTTTTCTGGTGTTATCGAAAAAACTGTCGTAAAGTGCTGAAGATTCTCAATGGGTGCAAACGCTTCAAAGCAGAAGGTAATTTCTATAGTTGCTGTTTTAATATACTCTCTTACATTGCTCTAACGACCGAAAAACTCGCAATTATATTCTCGAATATTCATATGTAATTTCTTTGCAAAACTTTAGAAGTGGTGACAAATCATTCTGCTTAGATGTCCTCTGAAAAACTTCCCTTATGTAACGGGGAATAGAAGAAAATAGAGAGTCTGAAACCTCTAGAAATGTAAAATTACGAAACTCCAATCTATCTGTTTTGATCGTGGGACTTTCTAGCAAAACTTATCATTTCTTGGTTTTACAACTACTGCGTAAACGCTTAGTCATAAAAAGAAAATGTCAAATTCAAAAAATTTTTATTCTGTGAAGTTAAGTGTTATGCAGCAATTAAAAAGAAATCAGAGTGTCAGAAAAGTGCTTAGTTTAGAACCCATAAAACATGGCGTTTATTTTTTAGATTCCTGAATGATAAAACTGTGAACCTCTACTAACGCCATTAGTTTTTTTAACTTGTCCAATGATTACCTGAAAGATGCTAAAATCAAAATTATTGATAACAACAAAAAAAAAAATAAAAAACAAAAAAAAAATAAAAAAAAAAACAGGAAAAAAGTAACAAAATGTAGAAGTCGCATTACGCTTGAACAACTTCTTGTAATATCGAATACCCCCTCGTGTATAGTAACATTATTTACAAGATATGTTCAAAAAGAATTCCGCGCACAAAAAACGATTCGTTCTCCGTAGATGGTAGTGATGCATAAAAAAGTAGTTATTTCAAATTGAAGCTGTTTTTTAATGGCAAAAGAATATATGCAAAAGTATTTCTGAGGAGTATACTGCTTCCACTCTTTTCAAACTTCTGCTTCTGCTTCAGTCAAAACTAACCAAAACTTTTCTTCAGAAAAGAAATCTTTATCTACAACAAGCAAAGAAACGCTTCTACTGAGACAATTCTGCTATTAGTAAAAAAAAACACGTTTTTGCAAAACAATAACTTTTTTTGCTATGTGCGTATTAAATTTAAATGTGCATTTACTGAGAAAACTGTAAAAAAGCTAAAATTCACGAAGAATGCAGATTTTTGTTTTTGCGTTTGAGAATTAAAGTCTTAACTAGTTGAAGAGCAAGAGATCGGATCGCTTTACTCTATTTAGAGAAAAGGTCATGTATACAACGCATCTGGGAAGGGAAGCATTGATAAAATTGAAGATTTGCCGCAACATAACAAATATGTTAACTAGTTCAACAGTTCACATTACTCAATAAGACTTTTTAAACCTGACTTTTTACAAATATTTCCAAAAATTGATGTACTCTTCCCAAAACGAGAATGATTCAAACTAGTCAGGCTTTAATCTAATTTTGATAAAATGGATCACAAAGAAAAAAGAAAAGCTGTTCTCTGAATCATCAAGACTTAATGGCACAAAAGAAGAGAAATTAGTACCCCAGTACAGTCAATGTATTATAGAATAAAAACCTTCAACTGGTCAATAGAGAAAACCTTTGTGTTCTCCTCTGAGTTTTAAATTTTTAGTGGAATCTCCGCTTTCTTGATCCCCAACAAGTCCGTCAACACCGTAGTTTCTGACGCTGCACCTCAACAGCAAATTAAAAAACCGAACATCTTTTGCGAAGATGAGCTAAAAATATCAACGAAACTTTCATTAACTTAGAACTGTCAAAATTAGATAGTCCAAAACATTTAGTTTGAATCTTCAAAAAACCTCTCTCAAGTCACTTCAGCCAAGAGCCAAATTGACGTGCAGAAGCCCTCTGCTCACAATACGCGAAAGAACAATCGGAAATAAAATTTAATTTTCAATAGATGCTGGTTCTTCCTTGTCACCCTCCCACTCTCAAAACAAATTCTTTTCTCGACTGGAACTAATTTAGACCTTCATTCTACAACAAAAAAGACCCTACACTATTTCGCTTGGCGTTTCAAGCTAACACTTCACAAAAGTTTTCGAACGTCCAGACGTCCTTTTTGAAACGTGAATGACTTAAAATATTCAGACCTCACTTTACTTAGAGACGATTATCTCAAAAAAAGAAAAGACGCTTTTCCAAAAATTATCCGGTTGCAGCAACACAAAGCAGAAAACTACCTCAACAGTCTGCTCCGAGAAAACGCCGTAATCGAAAAAAAGTGCGAGTGGGTCTCAAGAAAAGAGAAATAAAAAAGTTCTCGTCCCGTGTTCTCAACGTTGACTCTTCAAACAATCCGCAACTGCTTCTTGACAGCAAACTTATCGGCGGCAAAAATTATTTGAGGCTCCCCTTCAGCAGCGATATAAACCTTTGAACGTCTACAGCGAAAATTTGCAACAATTCACAAAAATTTTCATTAAAAAAACGACAAGGCGACTTTACAAACCAGAAACACTTAGATCGAAATTTAGGAAACTTGCCTTCATATCCCATCTAAGAAATTGTCAAAAGCAGAGGCACTCTTGTCGAAACGTGAACGACAGAAGCTATTAAGAACTGAATTTACTCTCGGCAATAGGCACAACTAAAAAAAGATGGCAGCTTTTAAAATTATCTGAGAGGGCCACAATAAGAAAAAAACTGTTCCAATGCTCCACTGTGAAACAATCTTATGAATCGAAAAAGAATAAAAATCTCCTACAAGAAAAAAAACAAAGTTTTTCTGATGTTTTCTCGATTTTCATTTCATGTACAACCCACGAGCGTATCACTGGCATTAAACTTGCTGGTGTGAAAGAGTTTCCAAAGTAGCGTTTCCGTAAAACCATAAAAAAGTGAACATATACTGCAAAAAAACAAGAAATATCACAGAAATTTTTGTTAAATAAACGAGCCTTGAATTTGAGGAACCAAAACTAATTAGTCCCGTTTTCAGGGAACTTCCTTACACGTCGCATCCGAGAAAGGCCAAGTTGAAGTAGTGAAGTGTTTGATTGAAAACGGGGCAAATATCAACGCAGGGAAGGTTTTCCAGGTGAAGCTTATTTCTTAGCACCAGTCCATTCTTCTTCATAAGCGTCGAAGTAAAATTTAATCCTCGATGAAGCTAGACTTTCATTTCACGGCAAAAAACGAGTTTGTCATATTTGGTTTAGCGTTCTTCAAGCTAAGACTCCAAAAAAATTATCGAAAGCCTAGGCATTCTTGCCAGAACGTAAACGACACGAGCTATATAGAACCTAATTTACTCTCAGCAACGTGCATAACCAAAAAAAGAAGGCGGCTCTTAAAATTATTTATTGCGAACACGGGACAAAAAAACAGTTTTAACGCTCCACTGTAAAAGAATGATACAAACTTGAAAAGAATGAGAAGCGTCCACAAGAGAAAGAAGTCTTTCTGACGTTTTTTCGGTCATAATTCCATCTTCAACCCACAAGCGTGTCAATGGCACTAAACCTGCTAGCAAGAAAGAGTTTTCAAAAAAGCGTTTGCGCTAATGCATATGAAAGTGGCCATATACTACGAAAAAAACAAAAAATATCGCAGAAATTTTCATTAAAACGAACAGTCCTTAGATTTTCAAAAGCAGGACTAATTAGTCTCATTTTCCAGAAAACTCCCTTACACGTCGCATCCGCGAAAGGCCAACTTGAAGTAGTGAAGTGTTTGATTGAAAACGGGGCAGACATCAACGCAGGGAAGGCCTTCCAGGTGAAGCTTATTTCTTAGTACCAGTCCATTCTCCTGTATTAGTTTCTAAGTAAAATTTAATCCTTGATAGAGCTAGACCTTCATTTCACGGCAAAAACGAGTTTGTCATACTTGGTTTAACGTCCTTCAAGCTGAGGCTCCAAAAAAATTATTTAAAACCGCAGGCATTCTCCTCCAAACGTGAATGGAATCAGCTACTCAGACCTTTCATCTACCCCCCAGTGACACATACCAAAAAAAAAATGAAGACAGCTCTTAAAATTTTTTTAGCGTGCCAGCACAAGAAAAAAAAGCTCATAGAATGCTTTACATCAAAAAAATGCTACAAACTGAAAAGAAGTAAAAGTCGCCCAAAAGAAAAAAAGAATAAACGTTTTTACAAAGCTTTCTGGGCCATAATTTCATCTCAAACCCACAAGCGTGTCACCGGCGCTAAACCTGCTGGCGAAAATAAGTTTTCGAGGCGCTGTTTCTTATAAAGCATAAAAACGGAAACATTTACTGCAAAAAGATGCGAAATATCGCAGAAATTTCCGTCATAAATAAACAGGATTTGGATTTTAGAACCAGAATTAGGTAGTCCCGTTTTCAGGGAACTCCCTTACACGTCGCATCCGAGAAAGGCCAAGTTGAAGTAGTAAAGTGTCTGATTGAAAACGGGGCAGATATCAACGCGAGGAACATCTCGCAGGTAAAGCTTATTTTTTAGTACTAGTACATTTTTTATTATAAATATCAAAGCAAAATTCAACCCACAATGAAGTTAGACTTTGATTTCACGTTAAAACGAGTTTATCATGGTTGGCTTAGCGTTCTTTATTCTAAAACTTTAAAAAAATTGACGAAAGCCCAAGCGCTCTTGTCGAAACGTGAACGACATAAGCTATTTAGAATTGAATTCACTTTCAACAATAGGCACAACTGAAAAGGATGATAGCTCCTAAAATTACTCGAACGTGCCAAAACAGAACAAAAAAGCTGTTCCAATTTTCTACTGTGGAAGAATGTTACAAATGGAAAAAGAATGGAAAGCGCCTGGAATAAAAAAAACCAGAGTCTTTCTGACGTTTTCTTGGTCATAATTCCATCTAGAACCCGCAATTGTGTCATTAGCATTAACTTTGCTGGCGAAAAAGTTTTCAGTGCGGCGCTTTTGTAAAAGCGCAAAGAAGTGTAAACTTACTGCGAAAAGATACGAAATATCGCAGAAATTTTTGTAATAAATAAACAGGCCCTAGATTTTAAAAACCGGAACTAATTGGTCCCGTTTTCTAGAGAACTCCTCTACACGTCGCATCCGAGGAAGGCCAATTTGAAGTGGTCAAGCGATTAATTCAAGAAGGCGCGAAAATTGACGCATGGAACAACCTGCAGGTGAAATTTAGTTCTTGGTACTAATCCATTCTTCTCTATAAACATTGAAGTAAAATTTAATCCTTGATAAAGCTAGAACTTGATTTCACGGCAAAAACGAGTTTGTCATACTTTGTTTGGTGTCTTTCGAACAAACGTTTTAGAATAATTATCAAAAGCCTACGCGCTCTTGTCGGAACGTGAATGACATATGCTATTTAGAACTCAATGAGCTCTTAAAAGCGTAGATAATCAAAAAAAGAAGGCAGCTTTTAAAACTGTTTGAGCGTGCCAACACAGGACAGAAATGCTGTTTGAATGTTCCGCTGTGAAAAAATGAGACAAACCGGAAAAAAGTAAAAGTCGTCCACAATAAAAAAAAAAAACAAAAAGTTTTTTTTGAAATTTTCTCTGTCATAATTTCATCAGCAACTCACAAGCGTGTCATTATATAAAACTTCTTAGCGAGAAAGAGTTTTCAAAGCGGCGTTCTCCGCAAAAGCGTGAAAAAGTAAAAATTTACTGTGTGAAGACACGAGGTATCGCAGAAATTTTTGTTAAAAATAAAAAGGCCTTCGATTTTACAACCAAAATTAGGTAGTCCCATTTTTAGGAAAGTCCCTTACACGTCGCGTCTGGAAAAGGCCAGGTTAAAGTGGTCAAGTGTTTGATTGAAAGCGGGGCAGATATTAACGCAAGGAAAGTCTTCCAGGTGAAACTTAATTCTCAGCACTAGTCCGTTCTTCTTTTGGATCTCAAAGTAAAATTTGGTTCCCAATGAAAACAAACCTCGATTTCACGGCGAGAACGAGTTTACCATACTTGGTTTAACGTCCTTCAAGCTGAGGCTTCAGAAAAATCACCAAAATTTCAAGCGTTGTTGTTGAAACCTGAGCGACATAAGCCATTTAGAAATTCTCTCTTAAACGTGTATAAGTAAAAAAAAAGGCAGCTTTTAAAACTGTTTGAGCGTGCGAGCAGAAGACAAAAATGCTGTTTGAATGCTCCAGTGTGAAAAAACGAGACAGAATGGAAAGGAGTGAAAGTCGTTAACAATAGAAACCAGAAAGTTTTTCTAAATTTTCCTCTGTCATAATTTCATCTGCGACCCACAAGCGCGTCATTGTATTGAACTTTTGACGAGAGTATTTCCGAAGCGGCTTCCCCGCAGAAGCGTAAAAAAGTAAACATTTATTGGAAAAAGATACAAAATATCGCAAAAATTTTTGTTATAAATAAAGAGGTCTTGGATTTTAGAAACCACAGCTAATTAGTTCCCTTTTTCAGAAAACTCCGCTACACGTCGCAGCCGAATATGGTCAAGTTGAAGTGATCAAGTGCTTGATCAAAAATGGGGCAGATATCAACGAAAGGAACATCTGGCTGGTAAAGCTTGTTTCTTAGTACTAGTCCGTTCTTCTTATTAAATCTCAAAGTAAAATTTAACCCCCGATGAAGCTAGGCTCTGATTACACGGCAAAAAAGAATTTACCATACTTGGTATAGCGCCCTTCAAGCTAAGACTTCAAAAAAGATATCGGAAGCCTAGGCACTCTTGTCGGAACGTGAATGACATAAGCTATCTAGGGCTTATTTTGCTCTCGGAAACGTGCATAACTAAAAAAGAAGGCAGCTTTCAAAACTATTTGAGCGTGCCATCACAGGACAAAAAACTTGTTGGAATGCTCAACTGTGAAAAAATGCTACAGACTGAAAAAGAATGAAATTTGTCCAGAAAAAAAAAACGAAAAGGTTTTTCGGAAGTTTTCTCGGACATAATTTCATCTACAATCCACAAGCGTGTCATTAGCATTAAACTTGCTGGCGTGAAAAAGTTTTCCAAGCGGCGCTCGCCGCGAAACCGTAAAAAAATGAACATTTATTTCAAAATAATACGAAATATTGCAGAAATTTTTGCTATAAATAGACAGGCCTTGGATTTTAGAAACAAAAAATGATTGGTCGTGTTTTCAGAAAACTCCATTACACTTAGCATCCGAAAATGGCCAATTTGAAGCGGTCAAGTATTTAATTCAAGAAGGGGCAGATATTAACGCAAGAAGTGCCTTCCAGGTGAAGCTCATTTCTCAGTACTAGTTCGTTCTTCTCTATAAGTCTCGAAGTAAATTTTGTCCCCGATAAAGCTCAGGTCAACTTTGGTTTCACTTGAAAAACGCCTTTGTCGTGCTTTGTTTTGCTTGTGTAAAGTTAAGGCTCCAGAAACACTTTTGAAGGTTCAGACGTTATTCTGAAAATGCGAGCGACTTAAAGCTTTGAGACTTGATTAAAAGTGGCGCAGACGTTAACGCTAAGAAAGGATTTCAATTAGGTGCTGCTAATCCAGAGATCTTAATTGTCAATATCTTTTTGCGGCCTTTTTTGGGTGCCAAAAGAAAGTGGCCAAAACTTTTTAAACTGTTTATAACTCAAGCCACCCGCGAGTAAAAGTATTGCTTTTTCAAGTCGTAGAAGAACGCCTATGACTCAGGCTTGTCAGAATTTCATCTGTTAATAATGTAAATTTGTAACGGCATTACTGCAACCTCTCGTTCTATCGCTTCTGGTTCTTAGTCAGACGACTTTGCCATGTAAATCTTTGCACAGAGCTTTCTAGAGATACTTTTAAAGACCGGAGGCACTGGTAAGGTAGTGGAAATTCTCAAAAACGCTTACCACTAGAAGAAAATAAAATAGAGGTAGAGTCGTTGGAAAACAATGGAATTTTGGGGCTGTTGAGCGAGGGATTAAAAAGTGTTTTGTCGTTCCAGTCGAGCGGCAATATGCTGCTGTCCTTCTGTCACCAATCAGGCAGAGTTGTTCGAGGAAGAACTTGTGCCTGACCAAGGGGCGGCTTATAGCACCATCAGAGATATGCCAGAGAGATATGAGAACGAAACTGTTAATCGCAGTCTGCACTTTACTGATTCAGAGGCCGGTGTCTGCACGAACAAGAACACAATGCGCTGTACCACCTTTGGTCATAAATAGGAGAACACCATCGCCGTCTCAAGGTTTCGTTTAAAAGTACGGGCTTTATTCACCGGCTCCTCGTCAGTCTCGTTT